TGTGTGACTTCACCTGTGAAATGAGCTAAAACCTACCACCTTACTAACCCATGAACTTGCCCTGAGCATACATGTAAAGTGCTTCACGTTTAAGATGCTCCCAGCGAGTGCTCTTCCCATCCATTATTCTGCCATCATTCCAAAATTACATGGCATTGGTATTTTTAATATTGTCAGGGTTATGTGTCTTGTTTATTCCAACAGGTATAGTCTTCTTTTTGGAAGAATATCCAGTTTTTGCATGATGGCATTTGCACCTCCGAAGAATATAGAATGTCCCAAAATGCAGATAAAGATGAGTACCTGGACACCCCTCAACCACCAGGTTTTGAATAACCAGGTGAGTGGCCAGAGTATCTTCATCAGTTGAATCCAAGTCTTAAAGAAAAAAAATGGTAGTAAAATTTTGGTGATCATAATATAAACAGTGGCCAGGCCCAATCACACCTATAATCTTGTAATCCCATGTACTCAGAAGGCTGAGGCAAGAGGATCACAAGTTCAAGGTCAGCCTCAACAATGTAGCAAGACCCTGTCTCAAAATAAAAAATACAAAGAACTGGGGATGTAGCCCAGTGGTAAAGGTCCCCTGGGTTCAACCCCAGCACCAATATATATAATACATATTACATATAATATATATTTATAGGGATATGTGTATAATGGATATATGTAAATTTTTATGTGTTATATATTAGATATATGTATAATATATATGTATAAATAGGAATTATTTAGTATTGTGTGATGGATGAAGTAAAGACAAAGGATTTACTATAAAAAAATTATCGAGGGCTGGGGCTGTAGCTCAGTGGTAGAACACCTGCCTAGCACATGTGAGGCACTAGGTTCAATCCTTAAGCACCACATAAAAATAAACAAGTAAAATAAAGGCATGCTGTCCCTCTTCAACCTCAAAATTTTTTTTATAAATTTATTGAAGCTTTGCTATGTGGACAGAACTGGCAATAGACACAGAGTCCCTTGCTTAAGAAGAAAGTGGCTTTGATTTGTTCTTTCTTGCAAAGTCGCTCCTGGTCTCTCTCATCTCAGTTGCCTTTTGTCGTCCATCACTAGTTCTCCTCTAGAACTACCAGAACTGGAGGAGAAAATGACAGGGTGGTCTTCAAAGAGTTCCCCAAAAGAGGTTTTCTTGCTAGAGTTGAGGTCACTGGGTAATGCTGCATATGAAATGTACCAAATGCATAAATTTTGACCTATTGCTCATACTATTCCAGTTCTCCTAAGAATATTTCCCATATACATTTTGGGGAAATTAGTAAAATGCACCAAACCAAGCAATGCAGCGGGTGGCTAGTGTGAGAGATTGGCCAGCCTCTGGGGGTATCCATTCCTGCTTCAGTGAGGAGTGAAAGTTACCAGTAGGTCTGTGAGCTCCTAATAGCAATCACTATACATAAGGACCATATCAGACAGTACAACGAATCAGACATAACTTTCCTATGTTCATATATGAATACACAACCATGAAACGCCACATCATGTACAACCACAGAATGGAGTCCTAATTAGAATAAATTATACTCCATGTATATATAATGTATCAAAATATACTCTACTATTATGTATATCTAAAAATAACAAATTTTTAAAAAAGAAAATAGCAGGAAGAATATTAGAGAGTGGAGGGGGAGGTGTAAAGGAGAGTAATGGGGGGCTGCATATGGTCAAAGTATGTTACATGCTGTATGATATGCCACAAGGAAACCCATTATTCTGTATAATTAAAATGCACTAATAAAAAAATGAAAAATAAATAAATAATGACCAAATAGTTAGCAGTAAAATACAATCAACCTGTATAAAACTGACCTCATTGTCTTGTTCCTGCACACCAGTTCCTCCTCCTGAACACCACTTTACATCATGTTATTCAGGTCAGAAATCTTCCTTCTCCCTGTTGGGTCTGGGAGTTGGTTTTTCCCCCAATTTATAAGCTGAGAAATTAGCCTGTTGCTTATGAAGCAGATGACATTGCTATATCACAGTAAGAGAGACAGATTCCTGGGCCAGAGACAAAAGAACATTACCCACAGCACAGCACTCAGGATGAGCAGCATGTTCCCCCCAGCTCTTTTGGTCAACCTTGTCCCACAGGGGTGATGCAGAGGGCCCGGATGCATGTCACAGTTGCAGTGGGCGATGCAGTGGGTGAGCGTTATAGTACGCATAAGCAAACCTGCTCATCCCTCAGGGTTGCCTTCCTGCAATCCAACCTGGATTTGCAGGTGCTCAGGGCTTTGCATTCTTGGCATGGCGAGACATTCAGGAGCAGCAGAGGCCCATGGAGAAGTGTCTACCACCTTGCCTCCACATCCGGTTCGTCTTCAAGTCCTGTGAATCTTCCTCCTTGACTTCTCATTCAGGCCCCTTTCTCCATCCGCCTGTGAACCTCCATCTCCACATTCTCAGATCGGACCCCGGGGACCCCTTGCCATATTGCAGTAATACCCTAGCTGGTTTTACTACCTCTGTTCGTACCTACCAATCTTCTGATGGGGTCCCAGGATGATCTTCCTAGAATACCAATCCTATTACATGAAACTGAAAATGGGCCCCACTCAAAAGGGTGACTTCCGATACCCATGCATATCCTGAGACCCCTTCATAGACTAACTTCAGCCACCCTCCCAGCTTCACCCATCCTACTCCTCCTCAGCTCTAATGCATCAGGCTGAGGTTCTCCCTTGTGTCTCCAGTGCCTGGGATGATCCTGAAGCACAATAGGTAGAGCCAGCGCAGGTCCCTCCTGGTCCCCTTTCATTGACTCTCCTCTTCTGATCCCGTCATCGTCTTCCTTAGCCCAGAGTCAGCCCTTTACTTCTCTAACCCTAACAGATGTGCTAATCCCTCCAGCAAAGCCGCCTCTCAGTATTCTATGCTCCTCTAACTTGAAACACCAGCAATTTCTAAGAGATAAAAGAGCTGGGCAGGAATGGGAATAGTGAGAAGTAAGATGAAGAGAGCCTAAAAAGGAAAAAGATAAGGAAATTGGGGGTGGGGGGGGGAGGCAGAAGAACCCAAAGGAAAGGCAGAGATAGAAAGGTTGATCCTGCTTTTATCTATAGCCGTGAACACCAAACAAGAATGTTGAAAATCTTTTTCTTTCCCTGTAACAATTATTTACTGAGCACCTGTTTGCAACACTCTTGGTGTACCGACAGTTTATATAACAGCTTATCTGCTTTCCCCCCAAAACTTCAGTGTTTCATTTTGAAATCTGTTTTCCCATAGAATTGTGAAGGTTTTACTCACATGTGAAAAAGTGACTTGAATTGAAATACAAATTTGTTGGATGCCCTGATTTCCAGAAATTTTTCTTGAAAAATCAAGAGTCTTGATCCATGTAGCTGCCATGGAAAAGAAATTGATTTAATAGCCAAAAAACACCTGAATGGGGCTGAGGACATAGCTCAGTGGTAGAGTGCTTGCCTAGCATGTATGAGGCACTGGGTTTGATTTATAAATAAATAAAATAAAGGTATTGTGTCTATCTACAACAAAACAAAACAAACTAGAGATATGGTTTTTTTTTGGTTTGTTGTTGTTTTTTCTGGTGGCTCTAGGGATTGAATCCAGGGCCTAGAGAATGCTAGGGAAGTGCTCTACCACTGAACTATACTCCCAACCCCAGGAAGCAGATGCTGAGATGAACATTTAAAGATCACCTGCAGGGCAGGAGAAGGGAGGCAAAGAAAGATGTGGGGTGTGGGGCAAAGGAAGAAGGTAGGCTGGAGTGCACCTCCACAAGGCCTCTTTTGACCCCATGGTATACCCTGAAGCCACCTGGTCCCCCAGTGTCTTAGTCAGCTTTCTCACTGCCGTGACTAAAGGGTCTGACCAGAGCAACTAAAGAGGAGGAATAGTTTATTTGAGGTCTCACGGTTTCCGAGGTCTTATTCCATAGAAGGCTGGCTCCATGGTGGGGGAAAGCAGCTCCCATCATGGTGACCAGGAGGCAGAGAGAGAGAGACTCCACTCTCCAGACACAAATATATATACCCCATAACTATGCCCCGATTCCCACCTTCTGCAGCCACACCCACCCACTTCAATTAATCCCATGAGGGATTAATTCACTAATTGGGTTAAGACTCACAACCCAATCGTTTCTCCTCTGAACCTTCTTGCAGTGTCTCACTTGTGAGCTTTTGGGAGAAACCTTAACATCCAAATCATAAACCCCGAGTGATCTTACAATCCAGCAAGGCGGTCAGTCCTTCACACTTCCACACTGACCATTGAATGGATGTTAGTTGCTCCCTCCTCTCAAGAAGGCCTGACCTCGGCAAGGCAGCTCTCTCAAGCTCATGGCTGTCAATCAACAGCCTCCCCCCAGGTGCAGGAATAAATCCTTCAGTCGTGGGGTGGAGTCACTACATCACAGCAAGTCTTACATTGCCTTATCTTGGTTTGTTAATGGATTTTGTCACATTTACTGATAATTTCTAGAGAAAACATTTGTTTTATTGTTTAGAACTACCCTATTCCAAAAACTTATATCTTGATTTAATTAGGTTCTAGTGTTGAGTAAAATTTTTCCTTTAAAAATTGTTGCA